AAAATATCTTGCAAGTTGAACAGTATCACCTGGAGCTTTGTACACGGGACCCTCAAAGCAAAGTGGCAGGATTTTGCCAGTGCTGAAACCAAGCAACATTCAGCCTGTGTCCTCCTGCTCAGTCTTCAGTCCTTGCTCATGTCGTGTCTGGAGCTTTGCAGGGATTGAACAATTCATTTGGTCTGCCCAGTGAGGGATGTTTCAGCAGGGATTTCTTTATGTGATTTTATTGGCAAATAGGGCAGCATTTTTACCCAGTTCCTGGGAAAAAAAATAGTGTCTGTTTCCATCCCTGACACCCACACCTATTACATCATTCAGCAGGTGGCCAGCTGAGGACTAGTGCTAATCCACACCCTACTCCTGGGCAAACTCAATTTCTAGGGTGTCCAGACTATTCCTTTCCCAAGTGGTTGGTGAGGAGGGAGTTACAGACAGTTTTGGAGCTGGAGAAGTGAGGGTTAAAGTGGAGAACAATTTGGTGAGCTTTGTACACGGGACCCTCACAGCAAAGAAGTGAGGGTTAAAGTGGAGAACAATTTGGTCTCCAGGATCACAGAGCAGATTAATTTCAAACCTAAGCAAGCCAAAGAAGTGATGGAGGGCCATGGAGCCATGCTGCTGGCTCTGGCCAGCTGGGAGCAGAACCTGTCCTTTCATGCTTGTGTGGGAGCTGGTCTCACCCTTGACCATGACACACCAGCCAGGACATGTCCCCTCTGGGTACAGGGCCTTGAACTGCCAGTGAGGAGGTGAAGGTGAAGCATAGCAAGGTAGGAGAGGAGCACAGTCCTGCTCCTTCCTTGCACTTCTCAGTCTTTCTCACACCCTCATCGTTTTCTCCTTTCTCCCTGCTTCCCACACAGGCACACTCTGCCTCTGCCCTTTTCTCACTCCTAAACAATTTCAGGGACTCTAAACTGGTACAAAATGAGGTGGCTACAACATCCAGTTGATGAGGTGGGATTTGCTGTGCCCAGCATCTTTCTAAAGACCTGGAGGGGATCAGGGAGCAAAAACTAACGAACAGCCCGAATGCCTTCATTGTCAGCAGGACACAAAGACATTCTGCTCCTTCTCCCCACCTGGGCAACACAAAATCCAAAGCAGAAAACTTTGTGATGCCTTGAAGCAATGTGTGAAAGACAAGGAATGGGTGCAGGGTGACATCCAGCCCATCCTCACCCAGTATTACGTGGGTGACTCTTCCCACAAACTCCTGCCTGATCTCCTGTTCCACCTGCTCCCCCAACTTGAAGGTTAAACTTGCATAAAAGGAGCTGGAAAATGTTCATTTTTGAATAATTCATAGTTTTATTAAATAGCTCATTTTAATAAAAACTGCTTGCCATTTCACCCCACTTTTTTAGCACTCTAATTATCTTGCATTTTTGAGCATTCCTCTCTCCCAAACTTGTCATTCACACTGGGAAAATATCTCCAACCTTGATATCTTCACTGCTAGTTCCATGCCTTGCTTTCTCTCCCCATAGCTCAGCACTTTCACTCCCCTGTTTCTCTCTCTGTCATGATTTCACATTTTCAAGGCAGTTTTTGGGATATACATGTTTTTGGGCAGAACTGAGATATGAAAATGACTGACCTCATACCCTAGTGCCTGGATACTTCTAGTGAACAGCTTTGTGAGCATGTGCATGGTCTTTCAAAAGCTCTGGCCACACCAGTGTTCACCCTGTGAAACACAGAGGGCTGATGGAGCTGGTGATACCATTTCAAAGAGCAAGTGATGATGGCAGCACCCAGGTTAGCCTGGCCTTGGTCTTTAGCTTGTCACCACTACAACAACCTCAGGAAAAAACACCACACACACAGGGAACAGCAATTCCCTCTTTGCTGCAGGTGGAGACAAACGGCAAAGCACACATTTCCTCTGCTAAAGCACTGGTCTGATTTTGGTCTCAGCTTAAACTCTCCAAGCCAGAAGTGCTGCCATCAGGGCAGTGTTAACCCAAGCAAGCCCTGGTATAGCCAAGATGGAAAACCTGTCCTGTTGTCCTTCACTGGCAGCCGTGAAGCTCTCGGCTTTGCAGCAGCCTGGGCTGGGCAGAGACAGAGGGGCTGAGCTGCAAGTGGCATCCCCACGTCTGTCAGGATTTCCACCTTCCTTGACCTTGTTTGTGCGGCTTTGCTTTCTCCACCGCGGGGGACGGGTGTGTTTGATGGCTGAAGGAAGGATGGAGACTCCCAAAACTGGGGGAGAGATGCCAGGATTCCCACCTGCTGCAAGGTCCAGAGAGAAGGGAGGTGGCAGGAGAGAAGTGGTGGCTTCCACAGGAGCTCAGCTTCACCCTGACCAGCAGAGATTTATTTTTCTCTGTTTTCCTTTTTGCTCACTCATTTTGGGCCAGAGCCTGGTCTGCAATGAGCTGATGCCAGCCCTGTCACAGCTGTTTTTCCACCTCATGGCACCGCGGGGCAGGGGGGGGAGGTCAGGATGCTGCTGTGCTGAGCTCAGCTTGTCCCAGCCCTGTGTTCCCCCTCCCTGCTGGGGACAATACAGGGATTTGGGAGCAGGGTGAGGGAGCTTTTGTCTGCTATTTCCTGTCGTGAAAAGGCAAATGGAAATGTCGTGGAAAAAGAAATGGGTAGTGATTAAATGAATGTCAGGGATGGGGGTTTCCATGCTGACAGTCAGCATGTGCTAATGGATGGCTGCGTGAAGCCCAGCCAGGGAAGGCAGGGATGGCTGCACATCCCCACCCCCCCACACCCTGCCTTTACAGGGTAAATGCACTAAAACCAGTCTCCCTGCATGCACAGGAGGCTGTGATGCTCCCCAGCTGGTCCTACAGGAATCCATGGCTCCTGTGGTTAAAGCTTCTTCACTGCATAGGCTGCAGTGCTGATCTTATTTAATGTGTTTGTTTTATTTCCAGCAGATAAGCAGAATGAGAACTACTATCCCAGGCTCTGGTGCCCTTGGCAGATGATTAAAAATGCAATCCAGTGGACATAGAAGCCAACAGCCTCTCTTGGGGCTGAAAAAGCCAAGTCCCAGGCTGGGATTTGCCCGTCTGGACTCCTACAAAGCCAAACCATGTGAAGCTGAGCTGTGCTGTGGTCTCCTTGCTCAGCTCCCAGCTCTCCAGGCTCTGTGCCAGGAGCTCTGTGCTACAGATGGCAGCATCAGGACATGCAAGGGACCTGCAATCCAATGATGAAGGTGCTGAGGTGATGGTGGCAGGGCCATGGACTTCCCACCCACCCCTCCTTGGGCTGCACTAGGATGCTGGACACTGGCCTTTTGGATCTGCCCAGCTGCATGTCTCCTCTACTTATGGCCTGAACCCAAAGCTGTGTTTTCACCCCCCAAATCTTCCCTCCCTGCTTGTTAGCCCTGCCAGCCAGGCAAGGGACTGTGGGGAGAAGGAGCTGCTTTGGAGATCCCCACCATGATGATGGGCCCAACCAGACAGCGCTGCAGTCCTGCAGGTAGGAAAGCTCTGATCTGCAAGCTAAAGGATTGTGACAAGATTCATCATCATTATGTCAGTGAAATCAGTAGACCTGGGCACCACAGGGCAGGTTATGGTGCAGTGGGGTAGCAGAGGTCCTTGCCCAGCAAGCTGTGGTGGGACAAATACTGGGTCCTTTCTGTGTCCAGGTGCTGCATCGTACCCACACAGGGCAGAAAGCAGAATGAGTCATGACTTCCAGAGAAGCTGCTGTAGCCTTTTATTTTGTGTAGTAAAACCAAGCACTTGCCATGAATCTGCACACACAGCCTGTCCTGGCATGTTGATGTCCTGGCATGTTGATGTCCTGGCAGGTTGATGTCCTGGCCACACTGAGTCTCATGCCAGCTCTGTCTGCAGCCTCTGCTGGTGCCACCACCATTAGCAGGTATAGAATTTGCTTTTTGCCTGCAAAAAGGTGCATCAGGCCAAGCAGGACTGCCCTGTAGGAGACCAAAAAGACCAGTGAAGGCATGTTTTGAGAGATGAGAAAGCTCTTCAGAAAGGAAGGGGAACTGGGATTGCTTCAGTTTTGGCGACTGCATCTTTTGACACACTCAGTGCTTCCCAAAATTCATGGCTGTGCTTCCTGTTGGCATTTCAGTGAGAGCAGGAAAAGTTACTGGGGAAAGATGCAAACTTGTTTCACCAGTGAATGGTGCCCAAATACTGACTAATTTGCCTTCTGCCTCTTGTGCCACTGCTCAGAAGCCATCGTAGCATCTGTTTAAAAATAGGTGTAAAATCCCAGCTGCTGGGGGCAGCACTGGGTGGTTACTCTTGATGCCATAACTTTTCCCTCTCTTTGATGATGGATGGAGAAAAACCCAAAGGCACTGATTATGTGCCACTGGAGTACAGAAAAGCCAGATACACTCTGGGGTGGAAGGAGGCTGTGTAGGAAAGGAGCTGATAACCTGCTGGCTGGGGAACTGCAGGGGATCTTTGTTAGTGTGACAGTGATTATCAAACCACTTATTAGCAGACCTGCTTATGCATTTGCCAGCCATTTGGTCATGCAACCACCAGAGTTTGCACCTTTCCTCAAGCTGTTATTAGCCGTGTCTCTTGTTTGTTTGTTCCACAGCCTTTTTTCCCCGCTGCTCACGATGTGGTGAAACACCCCGGGAGGAGCCCAGCGCTGCGCTTCCCGGGGGAGTTTCCCTGCAAAGCTTCCCTGCGCTAACCCAGGTGCCTTTCTGGAGCTGTGATTGTTTCCACTAGTCTCTAGAGGTCTCCAAACGCACAGCCTGGATTCTCTGGAGCTGAAGCTGTGCTCCCCTCCACACCCCACGGACCAGTTTTCTCCTGGCGGTGCTGCCGGGCTCTGGGGACCCCCCGCCCCGGGATGTTCCCCTTCCTGGCGCCTGCTCGGCTTTCACCGTGGGCTCTTGGAGGAAAGAGTCCTTCGTCCTGAGGTGGATGGTGCCTTTGGATATTGTGGCAGGTATTTCACTGTGATGTGTTGTCCCACATCTGCCTTGTCCTGCAGCTGGAAACATCAGCACAGAGCCCCGGGTGTGCCCACACCTGCATTCCAGTGCTGTGTGTGTCCTCAGGCATTATTGCTCCTGGCCATATTCACCTGTGTATGTACTCACACACCCATGTATAGCAGCCACCAAACCTCAGAAATAGGTACCTCCTGTGGTAACAAATCAACCCACATCCTTTAAATACCTCAGTGTGAACAAGCCAGCCCGGTGCTCCTGGCCCATAGCCGTGTGTGGCCAGTGGACTCCTGTGCTGAGCTTCTTACTGGTACCTCATGGCCATAAAAGAGGGTCTGTGACTGCTGGGATGCAGTCAGAGCTGGGGTTCTCTAGGTGATCCTGCTCTGGCAACAGGGCTGGACTAGATGATCTTTCAAGGTCCCTTCCAACCCCTAGGATTCTATGATTCTGTGATTCTGTTGGAATCAGCCTTGGCTGAGTCTTTTGGAACTAGTCCAGGGGCCACCAGACCTGCAGCCTTATGAATTCATTTATTAAGATTAATATATCAATTTAAGAAATTATGTTTTTTGTGGATTGTTTTTAGTGGTGGGCTCTGCCCACCAGCCAGTCCAGGCACAGCAGTGAGCCTGCAAATGTTGCCATTGCAAAGTCTTTTCATTTTCTTGCTTTGAACATCCTCATCCAGCCACCAGGCATTACTTGTCTAAGAAGTGCACCATGACCCCCTCAGGGGGGTCTCAGGCCTTTTCTTCCACCTCTGGAGCCAGAGTGACTCACTGGCTTTCCTAAAACCCCATGCTCTTTG